ATTGGGGGGGGAGGGGGGTATGCCACCTCACTACCAAGCACAAAAACTTGTGTTTGGTACCAAGAATACTCATTTTTCTCATATATATATATATATATATATATATGGAGGGGTTCTAATAAAAACCTCCTTAGCCTAAAAACTAAAAACCAATATCATCCATTGGATCTAGATGAATCCAATGGCTAGGAGTCAGTCAAACAGACAACAGAACATGCATTAATTATATGCATTAATTACATGTATTAATTACCTCAACGAACACAAATCTGAATTCACTGCAGTGAATTTGGATTCACCGTAGTGAAAAACGTGTTCGTTGAGGTAATGAATCTGGATTCATTGCAGTGAATCTAGATTCACTGTAGTGAAAAATGTGTTCTTTGAGGTAATGAATCTGGATTCACTGCAGTGAATCTGGATTCACTGCAGTGAAGGACATGTTCGTTGAGGTAATGAATCTGGGTTCACTGTAGTGAATCTGGATTCACTGCGTTGATGTAATTAATGCATGTGTTTAATGAGGTAATTAATGCATGTGTCTGTTGACTGTTTGACTGAATCCTAGCCATTGGATGAAGGAGCCTGCTGCTTTTCTCTAAGGGTGATCTGAATTCAGTGGCTAAGCTGCATAAGTGCCTCAGGGAGTTTAGCATAGTTTTAGGCTTGGAAGCTAATGCTAATAAGAGCTCTATTTTTTATGGTGTGTGTGTGTGTGTGTAGGGGGGGGGATGATAGTATCAAGTCCTCCATTCATAATCTTTTGGGTTTTTCTGGAGGTAATTTGCCTGTAAACTACTTGGGGGTTCCTCTAATTTCAAAAAGGCCGAGTTACATAGATTGTAATCCTCTTTTCACAAGGATTACAGAGCAGTTTGAAAAATGGCTGAAGGTCAGGAATATCTCATATGCAGGTAGATTGCAAGTAATTAAGAGTGTGGTTTTGGGAATCCAAATTTTCTGGACTTCTAACTACATACTACCTATCAGTGTGTTAAAGAAAATTGATGAAATTTGCAACAGGTTCTTGTGGGGGTAAAACTGATTAAGTTTTTAAGACTCCACTGGTGGCACGGGAGAAGGTGTGTATGAATAAGAAACATGGAGGTCTGGGGGTTTTTTCTGCACCAAGATGGAATGTTGCTTCAGCTCTTAGGTGTATCTGGCACATACACACAAATAGGGAATTTTTGTGGATTAAATGGGTTCATGGGACCTATTTAAGACAAAGGGATATTTGGCAAGTTAAATCCAAAAAAGGGGATTCATGGATGTGGAAACAATTGATCAAGACTAGAGACAAAGCTATTATCATGGGTGGAAGTGCTGAAAACTTGAAAAATCTCATCAATTCATGTCATAAAGGTGCAAAACTCAAACTTTCATCTTTGTATAATGCAATATCCCCTGCTTCTCAAAGGGTATCATGGTACAACATGGTGTGGGGGGGGGGTTAAATGTACCCCAAGCATTCTTTTATGTGCTGGTTAGTCCTACAAAACAGAATCCTTACTCAGGACAGGCTTCTTAGAAGAGAGATAATTGATACAAATAGATGTTGTCTCTGTGCAGGAGCTGATTGTGAGTCCAGGAATCATTTGTTTTTTGAATGTGTTTATTCTAGTGAGGTATAGAATAGCATTATGAACTAGTTAGAGTTCAACTGGAGGTCTTGTAACTGGCAACAAGTATTCCACTGGTTCACTGTCAGGCTACGAGGAAAGGGTCTCAAACCAGACTTGAAAAGGATGGTTTCAACTATATTAGCCTATGGAGGGAGCGCAATGCAAGGATTTTTCAAAATAAAGCCAGGATCCCAGAGCAATTAGTCAGGGAGATAAAAACTGAAGTTTGGATTGCTATTCTACATAAGCCAGGAGTTGATGGCGCGAGCATATTGCTGTGACATAGTGTGCAGGTTTTTTGCTTGTATAGATTTTCGACATTGAGAGTGTTATCTCAGTTTTAACTGAGCTGTCTTGGTGTATATACTTTCTCATTTTGGTTGATGAATAAATTTTTTTATTTACCAAAAAAAAACATGATGAAGTATGCATATGAGATGATATAAGGTGTGTGTGTACACACACAGTACTCAGCACAGTCATCATGATGTCCAAAAGATCCCACTCGGGAGTTAGTTCAAACTTCAAGCGTATGGGCATATGGAGCCACATAAATGAACTCCATGCATTTCTAAATATATAAATAAAATTTGAATAAAAAAGTTATCAAGGACCAGAAGCAAATTAAGAAAATAAAATAGTTACAGCATAACTAAATTCATTTCTATAAATAAATCGAAATCTCTTTGCATAGCATTAATAGTTACATCACGGGAACTAAGAAGTAATGTAATTTAATTAGACTTCTCAAGTTGAACATTTTTTTTTGATAATAAACTCTTTTTTTTACGATGATACTTTTTTAAGTGAGTTTCGATATATGTACATAAAATACATCCAATAGAATTTGAATATAGCTTACTTTAATGATGTTTTAGACTCATTCTACTATACCATAATAAGCCTGAAGTTGCGATAAGTGCTGTGGTTAAAAATTTATATCCAAAGAGTAAGTCATAAACAAGTCACAATTTTTTTTTCATGTCATATTGACATTCCTAGTTAGTATATATTTATAGTTTTTGGTAGTTTTGAAATGAAAAATTGCATGATATATGGTTGTTGAGTACATATATGGAAGAGAACACTATGACTAATAGTTGTTATAGGACAAGAAATTAACAACTCAGGATTCAATTTGGGGGGTTAGGGTTGAAGGGTACAGCTCATAAAGGGGAATCATGAAATCATTTATAATCAATAGACAGCTTATTTCCAATGTCTATGATCAACTTTTCTTTTGAGGGCATTGCTTTTTGTCACTCATTAAAAGAGACACCCAAAAGTAACCCCCAACTCATACATGCATATATAATAGTATCTCTATATATCATGCTATGATATTATTGAAGCTTTTTAGTATAAGTGACAAGAGCATCCTTTTTTATTTTCTCCATCAAGGCTTATAGCTTTATAATATGCCTGATTATGTGTGATCAAGAGAGATTATCTATAGTTTATGCGTATCCCAACCCCCCACCACCACCGCCCACCACATCCCCAAAAAAACCACAACCCAAAAACAAGAAAGAAATTAAGAAATAAAAAGAGAAAGACACACACACATCGTATGATATCGTCGCTTGTGATATGGCATGATTAATGTGAATAGAACGAATACCTACCTAGGATTTATCATTCTACTCTGATGCTCTCTCGCCCCAACCGCGTCCACAGCATCCCCCTCCGGCCGCAACACCCACCCCCCCCCACCCCAAAACACACGCACCCCCCCTTCTCCCCCCACCCCACCCCCACACAATATATTATATCACTTGCATATGATTGATGTTGGATCGAGAGAAGTGCCTATTAGTTATCCCCATTATAATAACATCTCCTCTCTTCTCTCTCTCTCGTTTCTCTCATCTCTCTTCTCTTCTCTCTCTCTCTCTCTCTCTCTTCTTATATATATATATATATATTATTTATTATATATATATATATATATATATATATATTATATATATATATATACTATATATATATATGTACTAATTTTTCATATCACTTGCGGTATGATTGTGTTGGATCAAGGGAACTGCCTAAATATTAATTAGTTTTCCACCACACGTTATAGCGACATCTCCCTTTCTCCCTCTCTGTGAAGTGTGTGAGAATGATTGTTGTACATATCTCGTACTACATGGGAGAGGTTAATATAGCTAGAGAATCGAGACATTAATGTGCATGAGATGTAGCCATTAGATCTATATATATATCTATATATATCAAAATCACATACTATCAGAGAGACTTGATCGACATGTCCCCTTAATTTAATTGGTTGCAATCTGTAGTTGTTGATGGAAGGAAGGAAGGATAAGAGATCAGGAGAGCTTGAAAACAAATTAATTAAGTTGCAAATGAAAACAAAAGGGATCGAGCTGGCATGGAAATTACAAAGGCGAGGCTAAAAGGATAAGACCCAAAATGTGCATTGTGTGGTGGGCACTCAACGCGACCATCACATTACAACATGTGACAGCTCTACTATGGGAACAAAACAACCGACAGCTCTAGCTTTGTTATTACACCCATTTGGCCTTTTTTTTCCCATGTTCCCCCCCTCTCAATTTATTGAAAGCTAGCTATATAGCAAGTTTTTGTGCTTGTGCTCATGATGATCGAGCCCACACTATTCGATCTCTTACCATAGTATATGAAAACTACTAAATTAACATATACGAATGAATGCCATGAGTATATATAACGTAGCAGTGGATAAAAGCAATTTGAAAATGTGGGTATATATATATATATGAACTGGTTTTTTAATTTCTATGTTGCTATTTTTTCAACAATAGAAATTAAAATGTTGAATGCGCATGTTGAACCAGCTGTTAGCCCATACCTTGGACCAGCTAGCAGTACATCATTGGTTAAGGTCCAATCTGAGTTCAGACTAACTTCTTGTTGACTCACTGTTGGATTCAATCGATCTCAAGTGCATGGGTTGGACTTGGACTCTAGCGGTACTATTGTAGATCCTCCCTCTCTCTCTCTCTCTCTCTCTCTCTCTCTCACCACCCAGGCATTGGTTTGTTTCAACATCCAGAGACCGGTGTGATCCCTTGCAAGTGATCGAAAAATTAAAGAGTACCAATGTCGCCCATTATGCAATTGAACATCCAAAAGACCAATGCCATCCATTACAATTGAACACCCAGAGACCAATATTGCGATCCATTGCAAATGTTATATATACAAAATATTAATGCATACTGAAAACAATTATATCAAGGGGATGAATAAAAATTAATGACGAGTAATTAAAAAATTAACCATGAAATATGAGAAATGCTTGCAATATGTTTGGAAGCCAAAACTCACCACCATACCGTTAATTGCCATACCCCAAGAACAAAAAAATTCCAAAAATAAAAAAATAAAAACCCTAGCAAGTTTAAAGCACCAAGAAACCCTAGCACCACGGCAAATAGAAACAAAAAAAAAAAATTGTCTTTCACCTGATCTCTTTTTACCCCCTCTAAAAAAGGTAAATTCATAAAAGCAATGAGAGAAACGACAATATGATGCATGAACTCATCTCAATCTCAGTCAACGGTGAAGTCAAACTTACTACGAGTCATCGCTCGTGCTCATTGTGTCATGCCTCTCGTGCTGCTGCTGTTGATGCTGATGCTGATGCTGTGCTGAGAATTCCACACGCCGTCACAGTCCGCCGACGACCGATAGGCGTTCAGCGCCGCCGAAAAATGCCCAACTACCTCCCCTCCCGCGCCCGATCCCAACCCCAGCTGCTGAACCTGGCAAGCAGCGCCATCGGCGTCGGCGGGAAGTTCATTAAAGATGCAACCCCGTGCTCGACACGGGACCCCGCCCGCCGCCGCCGCCGCCGCAGCCGAAACCCATCTGCGCGAAATGTTAGTCCATTATTCGCAGGAACGGGCCCCCACTCGGCTGAGACCTTGTTGCCAACATGTAGGTTGTGGGCGCTGCTGCTGCCTGCTGCTGACTAGGGTGTAGCGTGGGTTATGGACCATCCACAGTGTTCCGGCATCTGAGGCCCCGTGTATGGCCAAGCCGCATGCGATGTACCCGGCATGTTGCTTGCTGCTTGCTAGCTGCTCGCGCTTTGCCCTGCTGCTGCTGCCTGCATAAAACCCTTGTTCCCACCTCGCTTCCGGCAAGCTTCGGGCCCGTCGGTGCGCGCGGAGCTGTCGAGCCCGAATGGCCGAAACTGGCAGCTACCGGCCGTCGCGTTGATGGAGTTGAAGTAATTTTTGGGCAGCAGACATCGAGGAAGAGGAAGACCTTAACGAGATTGTTGAGGGAGGTTGAAAATTGGCTGGGAATCGTTGCCCGCGTCCCGGTGGCGGCGATGACAGCTGGCTCTGCCTGCTGGAGAGCCACTCGATGGTCTCCCCGTCGGACTGTGGGCCGAGCTCACGGCGTCAGCTGGAGACCGGAGCGCCGCGGCGCAGGAAGGCGGGCATCACCGGATCCTGCGGTCCCCGTGCCTCGACCTTTGGTGTGGCGGTCCTTGTGGAGGATCCGTTCGGCGGGGCTTCTTCGGGAATCGGAGGAGGTTGAGCGGGCCCGCGACGCGGCGAGGCGAGGAGATGAGGGGGGAGATCGGAGGCCGCGAAGAAGCGAGTATAAAGCGAAGAGGAGGGACGGCTGTTGGCGATACCGATCTATGTAGTCACTCTATACACAGTAGAGTGAATGGAATCTAAGTGGGGCACGGCCGAGTGCCGCCGCCGCCGACGCGGAAGTAGTCTCCTCTGTCGTCCATGGCGCGGTTAATTCAGGCATGGGGAGAGAGAGAGAGAGAGGATTAGGTCAGGGTGTCATTATATGTAATTTCTTTTTTCTTGGTTTTGGTTTTGGATTTTTTTTAGAGTTGAGAGAGAGAGAGAGAAGAAGAAGAAGAAGAAGTGGGGGCAGAGAGAGAGAGAGAGAGAGGGAGGGAGGAGATGGTACTAGCTAGTGTTTTATGTTATGGGGAGTGAGTTTTTATTGTGGGGCAAGGTTTTTTCAAGTATGGATCGATGTAGAGAGATTGAATCAAAATTGGAATGGAGGTTAGAGGACATCCATGTGTTTATGTTGGGGGGCGAGAGAGAGAGAGAGAGAGAGAGAGAGAGAGAGAGAGAGAACTAAATAGGGGACAATGAGCAAGTTCAAATTAAAGGGTGCAGCTAAGAGTGGAAATTATTGCTGAGAGTAGATATTATTCAGTGACTCAGCATACTAGATATAACCATCTACATTTGAATAATTAATTAAATACGCTAAGTATGATAATTTGCGCAATTGATTGAAAAGGACGGAACAAGCTTTGAGAGAGTGGAGTGGGAGAGAGAAGAGAGGGATCGAGGAGCTAAAAAAAAAAGCTTCAAACAAACAAAATTTTTTTTTTTACAATAATGAGTAGGAAAATTCAATGTTTGTGCTTTGCAAACAGTAGCAGTTATCTTTCGGTCTTTTTTCATCAACATCCTCTTTTGTTTTTCGCCTTTCCGATTTTCTTTTCTTTTTTTCTGAAAAAAAAAAACATATCTTTGTCCTTCATTTTAAAGGCTTTTACTGTGGTGAGGGCAGTCACTCGGGGGTGGGGAGGGGATCAGACTCCACGTGCGGTGCTCTTTAATCTTTATCATTCATTCAATCCATAAAGACAGTAGTGGCCAATGGGAGTGGGACCCGAGCTACCAAGTCAATAAAAACGAGAGACCTCTCTACTAGCAAGGAAAAGAGGTGATCGACGTGGGCCCGTTTCCACTCTAGTAATCATTCCCTTGCCTTTTCCTCCCATACTTAATTAATCTCCCCCAAAGCCATCAACCCCTTTTAAGTACTGTTTCGAACCTTTAGAGTACTAATTTGTTTCCTAGTTGTCCCGATGCTAGTGTGCTAACATGTTGAGCCTTTGTTATCTATATACTTAGACCATCTCCAACCCATTGCACCAAAATGGTGCAAATTTTACATCAAAATGATGCAAAAGTCACATCAAACAGTAATACATCTCCAACCCATTTTACTATTTTTTACACCAAAAAAGAATATTCTCAGAATATTCTCAGTTTATTTCCTTTTATCTATTTTTATATTAATTAAGAGGTAAAAATAAATATTTAAATTTTTTTTTAAAAATGAACAGTAATGGGGCGGATGAACAGTGCAACGCCATATTTGGTGCAGCATTGTTCAACTGCACCAAAATGACGCAGGAAATGGGGCTGGGTTGGAGAATGAACAGTGCAACAAAAAGCACTCTTTGCACCATTTTGGTGCTGGGTTAGAAATGCCGTTAGGGCTGTCCATCCGGCCCGGTCCGGCTCGGAAAATCGGGTTCGGGCCAGGCAAAACCAAAGCTCGGAAAACCGGGATCCGGGTCGGCCCAGTTTTTTTTTTTTTAAAACCCTAATAAATCATAAAATATACATAAAAATTACATAAAATGACATAAATTTTTTTGATAACTTGAAATGATATAAATTACAAGTATAAAAAATTATAAAAATAAAAAATGATAAAAATATCTTCTTTATTAATAATCAGTAAATCCTTTACAAGTATAAATTTATTTCAAAATTCGTCGCATCACAATAGATGAGTACATCTAAACTAGGTTGTCACCTACTCACCTATATCACTATCATTTGTAATTTTTTCTGAAATAATTCATTACAAATTTAAAGCTAAGAAAAAAATTATAATTTGATGAATATTATCTAATCTTTATACATATCTGCTAGTCCCAACTCTTCAAATTTATCTTCAATTCTAGTCATCTGATCGATGTCTTACGCTCGCTTCTCGTACCTCCATCAATCTTGTAAGTACATCATCGCTTGTACAGTATACAGATCTAAGCATGTCATGTGGTCGTCGATCAAACGTCATGCTGTGCTGAAGGCGGATTCCGAAGCTACCGTCGAAACCTGCACTGTTAGTAAGTCACGAACCATGGAGGAAAGTATAGGATATGAAACTGATCCATATACTCTCCACCATTGTAAAATATCTAAAACATTTCCTTAACATTTAACTAAAGAAGCAGATAAATATTCATCTATTTCAGAAACCTCTAATGCTGATCCAAGTCCAGAAATCTATTTCAGAAACCTCTAATGCTGATCCAAGTCCAGATCCACCAGTTAGTTCAGCTACCATTGCATACCTATCAAAACCTCTAATGCTGATCCAAGTCCAGATCCACCAGTTAGTTCAGCTACCATTGCATACCTATCAAAACTTATACTTTTACCTCGGCCTATGCTCGAAGGCGTTGAAACTGTAGACTGTTGTGCAGTTACACCATGTCTAGCTGCATACTCATCATATAATGTTTGAAAATAATTTCTAATAGCTAAATGATGAGAAGTAGCAGTAAGAGTGGATCCATCATCTAAGTCTATAATCTGTCCACCATACAATGATTGTAACAAACTTAGAAGGCCAATATCCTTCAAACATTGATCAAAAAGAACCCCAAACTAAAAATATGAGGAATATGCCTAAAATACTTATTAAATTTGCTCTTCATTTTGAAAAATTATAGCTCCAAAAGTATCATCCATACAATATTTGACAAAAAAAATTGAATATTTAAAATTTGTAAAGCAGCTAAAGTAATTGTTGGATAATAACATCTATATAATAACATTGTAGCATCATAAAAGACTTGTAGCATCTTATTTAAATTACATATAATTTTCCATTCATCTTCAGTTATTCTATAAGTACTACTAGAGCTAGAACTAGAAGCATAAAAATTTATAAAATCATTTATAATTTTTTTATATTCCATTGCTACACTTAACATTGAATATGTGGAATTCTACATATGGTCAGCATCTTTTGGAATTAGTCTGGGCTTATAATTTTTTCTTTTACAACATTGTTTCCATCTTTTAATTCTCATTTCAGAATCATTATGCATATTAGCAACTGTTCTAATCTTTTCTATCATGGGTTTAATTTCAGAAAATACACTTTTAATAATTAAATTTAAAATATGATAGATACATCTAACATGAAAAAGTTTACCATGACATGGCAATGACAGAGCTGTTTTGATAAAATTATCATTTATATAATTATTACTTGCATTATCTAGTGAAAGAGAAAATATTCTTTGATCAATTTCTAGTTTCATAAGTTCTTTAATTATTAAATTTGTAATATTAATACCAGTATGTGACTCTTCAATTGTAATAAAAGAAACAACTTTTTTAAACATTTGTTAATTTTTATCAATCCAGTGTGATGTGATACATAAATAGCCAATTTGCACTCTAGATGTCCAAAAATATCAGAAGTTAAAGAAAATTTACAGTTTAAAATTTTAAAATAAGAAATTATTTTTTCTTTTTCCTTCTGATAATATTTTAAAATATCACGTTGACAGGTTTGACGAGAAAATTTTATAAATGCGGGATAAAAACCATCTCTAAACATATCTTCAAATTCATCATATTCTACTAATTTAAAAGGAAGATTTTTAAGAACAATAAAGCTGATTACGCAAATGGCCCTATTTCCAGACCAGATTCTGAAGTGATTGCAAATGGCCCTATTCTTTCCTCTTCTCAAAGCAATGATCTGATCCTCCCTATTTCCAGAGAAGAGATAAAACAAGCTATTTTTTCTATGCCTGATGATAGAGCTCCTGGCCCTGATGGATATAATGCCTCTTTCTTTAAAGCAGCTTGGAACATAATTGATGAGGACCTATACCTTGCAGTGGAAGAGTTCTTTAGCTCTGGCAAACTTCTGGGTACTATAAATACCACTTCAATCACATTGGTGCCTAAGGTTTTAAATCCTAAAACTCCATCTGATTTCCGTCCTATTTCTTGTTGTAATTGTGTCTACAAAATCATTTCTAAGATTATTGCTTCCAGAATTCAGAGGGTTATGGGTTTTCTAATCAGTGAAGGCCAAAGTGCATTTGTTAAGGGGAGAATTATTTCTAATAATATCCTTCTTGCTCATGAACTTATCAAGCACTATGGTAGGAAGCATTCATCACCTAGAGCTACTCTCAACATTGATTTGAGAAAAGCCTTTGACACCATTAGTTGGGACTTTATTGAAGCTATGCTGGTGGGACTTGGTTTCCCAAATAGAATGATTAAATGGATTATGGAATGCATCACTACACCAAAATTCTCCCTGTCACTTAATGGATCTCTTCATGGATTTTTTCAAAGTGCTAGGGGTTTACGGCAAGGAGATCCTCTTTCTCCTTATCTCTTTGTACTGGGTATGGAATACCTGTCTAGAAAACTCAACTCTCTCAGACATGATGGGTTATTCAAATTTCATCCAATGTGCTCAAGATTAAACATTACCCACTTGTTCTTTGCTGATGATTTGCTGCTTTTTGGGAAGGCTGATATGTACTCTATTATTAAGCTTCACAACTGCCTCAAAGAATTCTGTCAGGTCTCTGGTTTGAGTATTAACCCTAACAAATGCTCAATCTACATGAATGGGATTGATGAGAATCTCAAAGCTCAGATTTGCTCATACCTTAATTTCCCTGAGGGGGTTTTACCTGTGAGGTATCTTGGTATGCCATTGATTACAAAGAGATTGACCTGGATGGACTGTTCCCCCTTGATTAGCAAAATCTCAGAGCAGATCCAGAATTGGCAAAAGAAAAGATCACTATCCTTTGCTGGCAGATTGCAGCTGATTAAAACTGTTATCCTGGGTATATATATATATTGGACTAGCAATTATCTTTTGCCTAAGAAAGTTCTTCAGAAAATTGATAGTATGTGCTCTGATTTCCTTTGGAACCATAAGATATCATTAGTATCTTGGGTTTCAATCTGTCAAGAGAAAAAATCTGGAGGCTTAGGTGTTTTCTCTGTATTACAGCACCAACCATTGGGATTAGCCCAATATCGATTCCTGGTATATCTAGCTTACCTCGGAGTGACGGACTCGCCGGTACGCATACGATTTAGGGATATCGTACTTCTCTAAGTTTATCTGACTTTTGACTAATATATGAGTGTAATCATAGGACCAGCCATTGGGACTGATTCTCTTATGACTCCTGATACCTACGGATGATGGACCTAAAGGTATGCAGATGACCTTATCATCCCAATCCTCCTTATTTGTCTAAATTTTCATTTTGACTAATAAAGAAGTACAATTATAGGACCAGCCGCTTGGGCCGATACCCTTATGACTCTTGGCATTCCCGCTGCATCTGTGCTGGATTGGCTGAACTTCAGCTGGAGGTCGTGTGACTGGAGATGTATTGTTAATTGGTACAGTCATAGGCTGAAGAGGAAGGGTTATACTGAAAAACTCAAGAGAATTGCTTTATCTGTCTCAGTATATCTGATTTGGCAGGAGAGGAATCAAAGAATTTTCCAGAGTAAAGCTAGACAACCTGTGGCAATCTTCCGAGATATTAAGTTCTCTATTTTCTCAAAAATTTTGAATGAAAAAATCCCAATTCATGTAAGAGATAGAGTTGAGTGTCTGTATATATCTTAGTTGAGTTTTGAGAACCAGTTTCTTATCTGGTTTTGATATGATGTAATTAATTCTTCCAAATTGGTAAATGAATATAAAGTTTTCATTGACCAAAAAAAAAAGCTGATTACGCATTTCCTAGCTCGGGCAGCGTCATAATTCCAACTACCGAGACTACCAGAAAAAGAGTATTGGGAAATCATAGATTGTCGGATATTACCTTGAGGATTCTGACATTTGTTGTGTTTTTCTATATGACGTTTGAGGTGGTTGGTACCGCTCTTATGATGAGCTTGGAAAGTCTGG